TCTCTCACACCCATCCTCCCACCATAAGCCACCCACACGCCCACCATACACACCGCCCGCTGGCCAATAAAAAGCGTCATAACTAGGAATTACAGGTGTTATTTACGTCGTTAATTACAGGTATTAGATGTAATAACATCTGGTGGTGGCTCAGTGTCCAGAGGAGGAGGGGGAATGGGAAGAGGAGGATGGGGAATGGGAAGAGGAGGGTGAGGAGGAGGACGGTGAGGAGGAGGAAGGTGAGGAGGAGGAGGAGGAAGAGGAGGAGGAAGAAGGAGGAAGAAGAGCAGGAAGAAGAAGAAGAAGAAGAGGAGGAGGAGGAGATAAACACAGTCATAGGTGATGATGTTCACAGCCTCCAGCAGGTGTGGGGCGAGAGAGGCACAGGTGAGCTCACGATGAAAGCTGAGGTGACGCACATGTAAGAAACAGGTGAGGCACAGGTGAGAGGAGACGCGTGACGCATAGAAAGGAGATAGGTGACGCAGAGGTGAGAGAAGACGCGTGACGCATAAGTGAGAGGTAGGGGATGCAATAAATGTGAGAAAGGTGACGTACAGATGTGACAGCAGTGATAAGGAGACCGGTAACGCACAGGTGTGATACAGGTGAAACACAGGTAAGAGCTACTACATGACGCACATGAGACGTAAAGGCGGCCCAAGACGCGCACGCACACGCACGCACACACACACACACACACACACGTCATTTAACCTAACCTAACCTAGGAACATACGGGTGAAGGGATGGGGGAGGGGTTGGGGGAGGGAAGGAGGGAGGGATGGAGGGAGGCGATGAAGGGAGAGAATAAGAGGGGGAGGGGAGAAGAAGGGAGTACTCCAGGCACAAACCAATGACCATTAGGACAAGATGATAAGGCTCCAGCACTGTTTCCACTCGGCCACCGCACCCCAGACAGAAAATAATCTAACACACACACACACACACACACACACACACACACACACACACAACCTTGGCGACTCGACTAGCTATGCCCAGTGAATTGGTAAGGAAGAGCTGTAGATATGACCACAGTAAGAATCAGTTGGTATATCGTGCGAGGTTCTATGTGAGTTTGTGTCTTTATCTTTGTTCTTTGACTTGTCTCTCTTTATTTTTGTCTTATTCTGTTCTTCTTTATTCCTTTATTCGTTTGTTTGTTTGTTTTGGGGTTTTAGTATGTGTGAGAGAGAGAGAGAGAGAGAGAGAGAGAGAGAGAGAGAGAGAGAGAGAGAGAGAGAGAGAGAGAGAGAGAGAGAGAGAGAGAGAAAAAACAAAATAGAAAATAAGAAAGAAAGTAAAGAAAGTAAAGAAAGAAGAAAGGACACCTAAAAGTCCCTCCCGAGACGCTATCATCATCAGTAGTAGGAGGAGGAGGAGGAGCTGGGCCTTTACAGTACCACCAGTCATTCTTCATGTTTATATCATAAGAGACCCGTCCCCAAGGTCAACTACCCCTACCCCTTATACCTCATACCTACCCCTTACACCTCATCATACTTCACCCCTCACCTCTGCTCTACTCTACTCTGCTCTGTTCGGCTCGGCTCTGCTCTGCTCTACGACGGTGGTCAACCTTCTTCAGTACTTAGAACGGGTGTGTCCTTACCCCGTCCCCTTCACCTAATGAACGAGGAGAGGAGGGGGAGGGAGGATGGGGAGAGGGAGGGAGGAGAGAGGGGATGAGGATAGAAGTGGGAGGGGAGGGAGGAGAAGGAATACGGATGATGGAGAATGGACAGAAAAACTTGAAGAACCTCGGCTGGCCAAAGTCCTCCTCACCTCACTTAGTACTAAAGGGGCAATAAGGGACACCAAAGGGCAATAAGGGACACCAAAGGGCAATAAGGGACACCAAAGGGCACCTCCCGCCGTAACAATCCTTAACCGGGTCCTAAAATGTCACGAACCTTTGCAAATGTCGCACTGTACAAATATTTAGCCACAAGGACACCATATCAGAAATATTAACCCCGTGAGTACTATGGCATTAACCCTCTTGAGTACGATGACATTAACCCTCTTGAATACGATGACATTGTATTCAGGAGGTTAAATCATAGAACGCAAAGGGTTAATGCCATCGTACTCAAGGGCTCAATGCCATCGTACTCAAGGGGTTAAATATTTCATCTGCCGTGTAAACAAACAAACAAAACATGTACACTCAATACATAGGCGACAACAAATAAATACCAACACAAATACACATAATTACACATATACAATTCAACCTCCCTGGCAGAACAGATTCAAGGTAACAAAAGGTGACGCGTGTCTACCTGGAACCGTGACTCACCTGACTCAACACCTGAGTTACTTAATCTTAAATAACACTGGAGATAAATAAAACATCTTACACCTGTACTATTGGATGATGACTTATTGGTTCTTATTGTTCCAGGAAGACGTGTTAATTACAGCATCACAGGTAAATTTACAGGTAGGTAGAAGTAAATAAAATGATGTAGGTTCGAATGTCTGTCACCAGTGGGGTTGTATTGTGTATTCATGTCCGCTATAGTTCGAAGGTGAGGGTGGGTGAGTGTGGTGGTGCAGGGTGTAGACAAGGTGAATATGTGTGTTTGTGGTAGTCGTAGGGTGTGGTGAACAGGGTATAGGGTGGTCGTAGGATGTGGGGTACTGGATGTGTGTGGTCGTAGGGTGTAAGAAAGTGGGTGTGGGATAGTGGTGAGGGTGTGTGGTCGTAGGATGTGGGGCACTGGATGTGTGTGTGGTCGTAGTGTGTGTGTGTGTGTGGTCGTAGGATGTGGGGCACTGGATGTGTGTGTGGTCGTAGTGTGTGTGTGTGTGTGTGGTCGTAGGATGTGGGGCACTGGATGTGTGTGTGGTCGTAGTGTGTGTGTGTGTGTGTGTGGTCGTAACGAGGGTGTGGTCGAGTCTGCATGTGCCGTGACCACCACCACCACTCTGGCCACACACACACACACACACTGAAGATCATGTCAGCGGGGAACACAGCGTGCCTGGCGAGACAGGGCGAGGGATGCACAGTAGGCGAAGGAAAGGATATACACGTGGGGGGTGAGGGGGGTTGATAAGATACGGAAGGACAGGTGAGGATACGTAGCTTGTTGGAGGATGACAGAGAGAGAGATAGACAGAATGATGTCATCACCCAAGAGAGACAGACAAAGATACGTGCCACCAGAGACATACAGACAAGTTCCACCACCAGACAGACATAGCCAAGTTCCAGACAGACATATAGACACGTTCCACCACCAGACAGACATATAGACAAGTTCCACCACCAGACAGACATATAGACACGTTCCACTCAGGACAGACAGACAGCCATGAGTGCCAGCCCTGACCACCTCTGAACACCTGTTCTCTCTTGCCCACCTTTAAACTTGCTCACCAAGGTCAAACACGGAGGGTGATGAATGAGTAGACTTGTCGTAATGAGCGTGGGTGGGCGTGGGTGGGTGGGCGTGGATTGGGTATGTTGGGGAGAGTCAGTGGGGAGTAAAGAGTAAGAAGGGTAGTAGGAGTAGGTGTGGGGTATAGGTGTAGGTGAGGTGGGGTGGGGTGGGGTGGGGTGGGGTGGGGGTGGGGTGGGGTGGTGGGGTGTAGTGGTGTGAGGTGAGGTGTAGGGTGTGGGTGTAAGGTGTGGGTGTAGGGTGTGGGTGAGGTGTAGGGTGGGGTGAGGTGTGGGGTGTAGGGTGTGGGTATAGGTGTGGTGTAGGGTGTGGATGTAGGTGTGGGGGTGTAGGGTGTAGGTGTGGGGTGAGGTGTAGGGTGTGGGGTGTAGGGTGTGGGTGTAGGTGTGGAGAGGAAGCTATGATCACCACTCGTCCCCGTCCGTGCACCTGTAGTGTTGGTATAATTATCCTAAACCGCCCATCCTACCACTGGTGATATCCTGGCATCCTGCTATGGGTGGCACCTTGTTCTGACACTGATGGCACCCTGACCGCCTACCATTGGTGGTTTCCTGGTCACAAACCAACGGTGGCACCCTCAACATGTAACACAGGTGGCACCCTCAACATGTAACACAGGTGGCACCCTCAACATGTAACACAGGTGGCACCCTAAACATGTAACACAGGTGGCACCCTCAACATGTAACACAGGTGGCAGCCTCAACATGTAACACAGGTGGCACCCTAAACATGTAACACAGGTGGCACCCTCAACATGTAACACAGGTGGCACCCTCAACATGTAACACAGGTGGCAGCCTCAACATGTAACACAGGTGGCACCCTAAACATGTAACACAGGTGGCACCCTAAACATGTAACACAGGTGGCACCCTGAACATGTAACACAGGTGGCACCCTGAGCATGAACATGTAACACAGGTGGCACCCTGAACATGTAACACAGGTGGCACCCTAAACATGTAAAACTGGAGGCACTGATCTCCTAACACAGGTGGCACCCTGAACCACTGTACACGGAGGTAGTGATCATATTCCCCTCACTGGGAGGACAGACAGACTAACCAGTACATCAGTGGTGACTATAACATGAGTCACCACCAGAAGGTGTGGTACACAACACTCAGGTATAACAACAGGTACAGTAATTGGTCTACGTTTCTACACTATGAATAATACAAATACACCTTAATATATCCAGTCATCACCTTGCTTCATCACACAAAGATATACATTATACATTTTTCTTGTTCATTGTAAGAAAATAATACAGCCCAAGGTGTGTTTTTCATTCACATACGGATACAACTCAATATGGAGTAACTTGATCCACTTCAGTTAACAGTTTCACTGAAACATGAGCTTTTGTTGTGACCAAGATACCGTAATGTTTATTGAATATATTATTTCACTGCTCTTATATCTTTCAGTGTTCCACGTGTAACACACCATGTTTTCACTGTCAAGTCACCAGGCATCACTTTAGAGGTGTGAGGACGGGGGTGTGTTGAGGGCTCACCAGCACCACGCCCCTCACCACTCGTATAAACACACAAGACAGAGAAAGAGAATCAACAAGACCGAGTAGCGTCCCGGACCAGCGCCGCGCCACGCCGCCCCGCGGGCCACACCACCACTACTGCCTGAGTCATTCTGGCCAACACCACCACCACCACCAGTGATCAGCCCAGGCAGCAGCAGCACACCCTCACCACGCTAAAACCGTCCTCTCCTCGCTCACACCTCCCTTCCTCTCTCCCAGACACACACGCTCCTTCCTCCGCCTCCTCTCTACCCTTCATCTTTCCCTCTTCCGCCACCTGCATCGGACGTATCACGTACCACCAAGATAGCAACAAAATGTATGAAGACGGGAAGAATGTATTTGGGATAAATTCTGGCAATGGATGCGTGGCTAGCTAGCTGGCTTGGTCCCCTCCCCTCACCACCCGCCTGGCACTTGTTGAATTTATCTCACTGTGTTTCGTCTCATCTCGCGTTATTCCACCGCCCACGACACACACCAAGAGCCCCAACAATCTCCTGTAACACACGTCCCCCACCAATAACCGAGAAGGAATTATCAACGAAATACACTGAAAAATCCAAAAAAAGTTCGATCAATGCTGAATTAAACAAGAGTTCTGCTAAGGCGGACAGTGAACGTAACTCCCTACTCAGGCATTTCCATAATCTGGTGATACTTCCAAGGGGAGCAGGAGGGGCATGGTGAGCACATGTCTTGCTGAGGCTGTGTGATGCTGCACCTCCTCCATGTTGCGCGGGACGTCCCAGGTAACAACGGAACACAACACGCGCCCTTACATGATGTTGGTGCTACTGACAACCTCTGCAACTTACATAAACTTTTAAAAACACAGGACCCACCACATCCCGAACACAACACAACACATCACCACCACATCCCGAACACAACACAACACATCACCACCACATCCCGAACACAAGACAACACATCACCACCACACCCCTGACACCAAAAGCACCACCACCACATTTGACACCGCAACACACCACTACCGCCACATCTCTAACACCGCAACACATCACCACCACCACATTTGACACCGCACACACCACTACCGCCACATCTCTAACACCGCAACACATCACCACCACATCCCGAACACCAAAACACACCACCACCACCACCACCATCCGAGCTAATGTGGATTGTTGCTTTGTTACGTTAAGATTCTATTCCTCCTCCCTCCCCCTCTCAAAAAACCCTGAAGACCCAAATTTTGCGAAATGTGAACCACTAATTTTGTTACCCTTAGGTTAATGATGAAGTATCGTAGAGTGACACGAATAGACGGTATCGTAGAATGACATAACGCATGCAAATCACTGGTTGAGGGACACTACAAAACCTGACGACGGTAATGCTCGGTTTCAGGTCCTCCACCGTACCCAACATGACCTAACAAGGGCCTCAGGGATAGCGTGTGAGAGGGCTGGACATCACCTCTTCATCGGAGAGAGAGAGAGAGAGAGAGAGAGAGAGAGAGAGAGAGAGAGATGCGTGTAGACAAGTGTGTGTATGAGAGGGAAAAACAGCTCCCTCTCTCTCTCTCTCTCTCAAGACGAGTTGTGGTTGTCATGGAGGATGTAGAGTGGTCCATGAGAGGGCCGAGTATCCCTTCTCAGGATGTAAAGTCGAGTGGTGTATGAGAGGGCAGAGTGTCCCCTCAGGATGTAGAGTGGTGCATGAGAGGGGCAGATCCTCCCTTTCAAGCCTAGTAGTGCTAATGTTAAGAGGATGGGTGTCGCCTTCCCTCATGCCATAAACAAGACACACATACCTCCTGGCCCCTCACAACACACACCATCACACCGAGTAAATTCACTACTAAACTACCACCTGCAGGACCTTATTGGGGAGCAAGGGGAGGGGAGAGGAAGACGGGGAGGGGGAGACGGGGAGAGGAAGACGGGGAGGGGAGAGGAAGACGGGAGGGGAGAGGAAGACGGGAGGGGAGGGGAGAGGAAGACGGGAGGGGAGAGGAAGACGGGAGGGGAGAGGAAGACGGGAGGGGAGAGGAAGACGGGGAGGAGAGGAAGAGGGGAGGGAGAGGAAGACGGGAGGGGAGGAAGATGGGGAGGGGAGAGGAAGACGGGAGGGGGAGGAGAAGATGGGAGGGAGAGGAAGACGGGAGGGGAGAGGAAGATGGGGAGGGGAGAGAAGATGGGAGGGGAGAGGAAGATGGGGAGGGGGAGAGGAAGACGGGGAGGGGAGAGGAAGACGGGAGGGGGAGAGGAAGATGGGAGAGGGAGAAGAAGACGGAGGGGAGAGGAAGACGGGGAGGGGAGAGGAAGACGGGGAGGGGAGAGGAAGACGGGGAGGAGAGAAGATGGAGGGGGAGAGGAAGATGGGGAAGGGAGAGGAAGACGGGGAGGGGGAGAAGGGGAGAGGAAGATGGGAGGGAGAGGAAGACGGGGGAGGGAGAGGAAGACGGGAGGGGGAGAGAAGAAGGGAGAGGAAGACGGGAGGGGCAGAGGAAGAGGGGGAGGGAGGGGAGGAAGAGGGGAGGGAAGGGAGAGGAAGAGGGGGGAGGAAGATGGGGAAGGGAAGGGAGACAGAAGGGGGTATGGGGAGAGGGTAGGGAATAGGTTAAGGTAAGGAAAGGGAAGGAGGAGGTGTGGTATGGTATGAGGCAGCGTCAGAAGGCCACACACACACACATACGCTCAACACCTGACTCCAGATTCTCAGAGATTCGCATATCATTATTTTTTTTTTACCTTTTTTACCTCGTGGGTGATGGCATGGCTACAGGTCTCAAGCCCCAACACGTGAGATCGTCAGCAGATGCAATAAAGAAGTGAATATTTTACCGTAGTTGGGGGAATACTATCCAATTTATGAAGCTTTTGAGAATCACCAAGAACAAATTATCACATCGAACAGGGTCCCGAGGCGAAGCCAATGTAATTTTCCATTGGACGGGGGAACCTCTTCAACAATCATAATGTAAACAAAAACTACATACCAGCTGTTGTTTAGGTTAGGTTAGGTTAAGTTAGGTTAGGTTAAGGTTAGGTTAAGGTTAGGTTAAGGTTAAGGTTAGGTTAAGGTTAGGTTAAGGTTAGGTTAAGTTTAGATTAGGTTAGGTTAGATTAAACTCGATACAGTGTGACTCTGACCTAGAATTTGCTTCCGGATGATGACCAGAACCAGCGAGTTTTTGTCGCGTGTTGGGGGAGATATCGACCAGGAGGCCCCGTGGTGCTGCCTCGTATTTAAACTCGACCCATAAATCCTACTGGGTGTCAATCCTTTCCGCGTAATGACCAGGCGGGGGAGGGGGCGTCTACCTGCCTCCTCCTCTTCCCTCACCCCTTCTCTACCTCCTCTTCCCCCTACTCTTCCTCCTCTTCCCCCCTCTACTCTACCTTCTCTTCCCCCTATTCCACCTCCTCTTCCCTCACCCCTACTCTACCTCCTCTTCCCTCACCCCTACTCTACCTGCTCTTCCCTCACCCCTACTCTACCTCCTCTTCCCTCACCCCTACTCTACCTGCTCTTCCCTCACCCCTACTCTACCTGCTCTTCCCTCACCCCTACTCTACCTCCTCTTCCCTCACCCCTATTCTACCTCCTTTCCCCCCTACTTCCCTATCTCCTCCCGTCACTATCCAGTATCTCCTTCCTCTTCTTTTCTTTTCTCTCCCTTCTTCCCTTCTCTCCGACTCCAAGGATTTTTGTTCTTTTCCCTCTACTGCTTCATTTTATCTCTCCTCTCCTCCTTCCTCTTCCTCCTCGTCCACGTATTCCTCCTCCCCCTCCATTTCATTCCCCTTCTTCCTCCTCCTCCTCTTTCTCTTCGATCCAGAAAATTCATATCCTCTTCCTCTCCCTCCTCGCTCACTCCTCTCTTCCTTCTTCCTCCGGTATATGACCTAGCTATTGCGTCGTCAGAGAAGTAATTACCACCACAATCAATCCTCCTTCCTCTATCTCCTCTTCTCTCTCTCTTCCTCCTCCTCTTTTTTCTCCCTTCCGTATCCTTCACCTTTTCTCCTCTTCTCTTCCTCTTCCCTTTGGCACACAACTCCTGCCCCCCTTCCTCTCTGTTCCGCCTCTTCCCTCCAACATATGACTCCTTCCCTCCTCTTCCTCTTCCCTCCTCCTCGCACACCTATAAGGACGGCACACTATCTCCTCTGAGGCCCATCACCTTATCTTAATATTCCCGGTTTTCTCGCCAAATTCTTCTCCTTCCTCCTTGTACCTTCTTCTCTTATCTCTCCTCTGGTCCTCCTTCGTTTCTTACTCTTCCCCTTTGTTTTTTTCTCTTATCTTCTCTTTTCTTTATTCTTCGTTTCTTCACACTTAATCTGTTTGATATTTCTTTATTTCCTTTTGTCTTATCTCTGGTTATTATCGACGCTTAAATGCTACACCTAACCTAACCTAACCTAACCTATCCCATCCTAACCTAACTTATCCTATCCTAACCTAACTTATCCAGTCCTATCCTAACTTATCCTATCCTAACCTAACTTAACCTATTCTATTATGACCTGACCTAACCTAACCCAACCTAACCTGACCTGACTTGACCTAACCTAACCTAACCTAACCACAACTAGTCTCACCTCCACAGTCCAGGTCTTGAGAGAAACAGGATGGCCAGGTATAAATGACGTCCTAGGAGATGATAATAGTGACTGAGTGACCGCCAGGTGAGATTCCAGGGACTGAGTGTTAATTGTACAGGTGTTTGTAATTCATGAGTGACCAGTGACAATTAGGTTACAGGAGAGGTGGTATAGTGTCACTCAGGCTTCTAACTCACATCTCTCTCTCTCTCTCTCTCTCTCTCTCTCTCTCTCTCTCTCTCTCTCTCTCTCTCACCACGCACTGACGGGAAAAAACCAACAATTTCCCTAAAAAAAAAAATTAAATAAATAAATAAATAAAAATATCCTTCCAAACTGCGACTGTAAAATAATAATCTAATACCAGACCACAAGTTGCCTCCCTCAACGTGTAAACAAGATCAATATTGGCCCAGGAAGACACGATATTCCTCTTAAGGAGTAATGCGGATGAAGGTCTTGACCCTGAGGAAGACAAGTTCGTGCGAGACACCACAACAACAACAGAGAGAAAGACACAGAAACAG